AATAAGTATACTTCAATTATATTTCCCAAGTATACCTTAACTAGTACGTATACCAATAATGCTTCTTGGGACTATATTGGCCCCCGTTTTAGTACATAACAGTATTCTTGAAATTAACTTTTAGATGTACTTTTTGTTCACCATAATTGTACTAGCATAATGTCATAATGTCTACAAAAGTATAATTAAAATATACTCGACTCTATCACAATACTAACCTTACAGTATTAATAATGTTTCACATTGTTTGACTAAACAAATACATTTATCAATATGTGAGGTTCCATTCAGCTCAAGGAATTTAATTTTAGTGTGGCTGCAACTTACTCCTTAAGTTAAAAAATTATGCTGTATATTGTAGTTTATATGTTATACTACTTTCACAGTGAATCACATTTTATAGTAATACACTCTGAATGAGGATTTAAGTAATTACTCTTAGATCTACAGTAGAAAACAACAGAAATCCGGATGGTGTAATAGTAACATCACCAATTGTTACATTTGCTGTATTTTACACCTGTTTCCATGAGTACCGTGAGTTACCATAAAAATAATGTAATCTCATGGAATTTTCCCACAATTACATGCAAATTACAGTACTAAACTGCTAACATCCTTTAGAGTTTTTTACTGTTGATTTTGCAGTACTAAGCTATGGAAATTACTGCAAAGGCTAACAGTGTGAAATTTAATTTGATTTGTTTTTTAACTGATGGGGGAGTTGGGATTTTGAAGATGCTTGGCCTAACAAAAAATATTGATTAGTAAAATGGCATAATTACCTCTGATTGCATCAGATATTTGAATGCATACTGATACTCTTGAAATGCTTTGCAAATACTTCCTGACTAAGATTCAAAGGAAGACTGTGTTAGATATTATCAACACAAGCAACACTAGCCTTAATCGCAATTGCTATATCTGCTCACAACAAACATTCAACCTGACAGTAAGTGGTGCGTTATAGTAAAGCATGAATGAGTGTACATGTAGCATAAAATAGTTGTTCTTTGGCTAGAACAATTACCATGACATAAAACTGGTGTGATGTTCACAAAGTCAAATTTCTCAGTGTTCTTCAGTGGAGAAACAATATAATGAATAATCTTATTCCAATATAGTATCTGTACCGACATTTCTTTTCTTTTCTTCTTTTTTGCCTGTCCCGTCCGGCAGTAGCAATCAGAATTATTGTCTAAAGCCCAATAAAAATCCCCAACAGATTTGATTTTCCCAAGTAGATCATTAAGGCTTTGCCATACTGGTCCACTTAATTGATCTTTATCATTAATTGACTGATTTATTGATTTATTTAAAAACATATTTTTTTCAAACTTTTAAGTTATTACAATTGGAACAGACAGGACCAGGGGGTAGGCAAGAAAAAGATGTAGATGGAAGTTCAAGAAAAGGAGAGAGAAAGAAAAACAGAGGGGAAGAGAGACAGAGAGAAAAGACACTAAAAATCATAATCTGCTGGAAAAAAGAAAACAAGCAAAATAAGAAAACACAGTAGGGAAACCACAGCAACAACCTATAAATAACAGTGAATAATAAATATTGAATGCTGAGTGGCACACAAGACGGACAATGCTCGATATGCTTAGAAGCAGCAGCCAAGGAAAATAGTGTGTGTCTGTGAACACCCGTGCACACGGGTGAAGCACACATGGAGGAGATCCAGAAACCAGACATCTGGAGGCACGAGAGCCCAAGGATGAAAACTGGAGGGGCAGCTGCACCACCACCCTAGAGAAGAGCTGAGGCGGGTCACCCAGCAGGTACGGTGCAGAAGCCACAGGGGGATGCGGTGACAGACTCCACCGTGTTTCAGTGGAGCCTGAAACATGGTGGAGCCTGCAGAGCCCCCGGGGCCAGAGACCCAAGATCCGAGGGTCCCCCACCCCCAGAAGGGGCCCGACTGAGCCACGGGCACCAGGCACCGCCAAGAAGCCGCCGGGAGTGAGCCAGTACACACTCCACCACCCAGACCTGGACACCGAGAACCACTAACGCACCCCACAAGTGGGGACATCAGCCAGGTGGGGGGTGACACACCTGAGGGGGCCTGAGATGTTCCCAGAGAAGTGGAGTTTAAGACCCGACCTGACACAAAGACATAAACAGGCAAACACAGACACAAACATGCCTTCCCACCCTCATACATACATATACAAATAGTCAACAGTCAATAGTCATCCAATATGGAGAAAAACAGAAATGAACACTGTATACGCACTCACACTCCCTGTAGCTCTCTTCACGACAACACAGACACAGGTCGGTTCTTTGAAACGGGCGTTTATTACTTGGGCCTTCTCTCCTCAGCTTCACCATCACCAGTACGCCGATACGCCATTACGCTGTGAGAACTGGTCACGAGCAAACAGTACAAACCAATTAGCAACTTTACAGTATACACATATTAAGTCCAAACACAAATAAAAAACATTTCTCAAATGACAAATACCTCGTTGGCTGCTTGTCCTGAAAAGAGGTCCTTAAGTCCATGTATTGCCCTTTCTTTTAGTAAACTTTTAGCTTAAATCGCTTCATGAGAGACATCTGCTCCCTCGCAGTCCATGAAAAGTCTCGTGTGCTCTCGTTAAGGGTATTCTCACGAGACACTAGCTCTCACCTTACACATGTACATTTCAAATAAAGACATTTCAACGCAAACTATATATATATTCATGAAATTATGTAACTTAACATTTTAACAGCATTTACACTCCCCAAACATATTTTATACCCCCCAGGTCCAGGTGGAGACAAGCAGACTAGGGGTGGGTTTTGATTATTGATTTTCTTATTAAAATAAATTCTAGCTTGAATAGCGTAATATTGATTCATTAAAATCCTGAATCAGTTTTCAAATATAAATTTATTTTGCCCGAAACGCCAGAATCTCAGGTTAAAACTTCACAAAATTTCGACAACCACCAAACAGCTGAAACAGTAAATGAGAGCAGGTAAACAGATTCCACAAAAATATGTAAACACAAAGCACAGACCAGACGCATCAGAATCAGTGAGATGTTGGCTTTCTCACCTGATGGCACGTACATGGACACGCCATCGGGGCTGAAAGCAGACAGCTTGCAGATTCTGATGTGTCGGGTCCGTGATTTGTGTTTACATCTTTTTTTGCGCTAGATTCTGATGCTGCAGGTTTCATCACTCTCCAGTCAAATTTGACCAGCACCAAAGAAGTCCAAATTACTCTTCACACTTCGCTTCACATTTCGCTTCACATAAACCTCGTCATGAATTCCCTCTTACTTTTGCTGTTTTGCTTCCACCACGATAAAATGACACTTCATGCACAGCTCTCTCTCTCTTGCTCTCTCTCAGTGTACTTCAAGAACAGTTTCCCATCTAAAAATCTCTGTTTTCTGCATTATTCCTTGCTTATTACCCACCAGTCTACTGTTATGTACAGTGCTGTCAGCCACTGACTTCCGACAAGAAACTCTCTTTTCTACTGTTCAATACTGAAGAAATTTAAACTTTTTATAATTATGCAAAATTGCACTTAGCAAAACACTTAGCTGTGTCTCTAATTAAACCACTGTAACTTGGGTCTGCTTCACTTCAGCAGCATCAGGTAATGTTTATATGATGATTCACGGTTTTCTTCAGTTTTTGTTCTACTGCAATATTTTTAAGGTGGTTATCTGCCATAAAAAGCTAGGCCAGGAAAATCTCCCTCATGTTTTTCTGTGTTTTATGCTCAGTTACTTTGACACAAAGGCATCTGCTGTGATGCTTACACCTTTGATAAAGTCTCACAAGTGTCAGCTTTGTTTTTATTGATATAAAAATATGGATATGTACTGAAAAATGATCAGGATTATAATATTTATGACTGTCTGGGGCAAAATTTCCCCATTTCAAATTGTATCGAATCGAATCGTGGATCGAATCGAATCGTGGATCAAATTGAATCGAATCAACTCTAGAAATCAGTGATGATACCCAGCCCTAAAGCAGACTGCCCCCGGTCGGGCAGCAGCAGGGAAGCCCAGCATTCCAGACCCCGATCAGACTGCCAACTCCTCCTCCTGGCCCCCCACCCCAGATGGCGAACAGAGAACAGGAGTGTGAAAACCCCATATCTCACTCCGGCCGCTCGTATGTGGTGTTGCAGCTTTCTGTTCTAAAGTGCATTTAAAACATGGAAGGGGCATGATAATCTCTGCCAGAAAGCAGCTGGTATCAGCACAGCCCCTCCAGAGAACAATGTCTAAATGTATTTACTATGTATTAACTCAGGGCCTTCTTGTGGTGAGGTGACAGTGCTAACCACTGTATATCTGTGTAATCCTATTCAGATACTTTCTATCTATGCTCTGAAACATGTCTGCAACTTATGAGAAATATGGGAAGGTCAAACTGGATATGAGTGCTCCAGGGTCTTCCTCCCTGTGCAGATATTGAGAGAAACTATGATCATTTGCAAAAAGCAAAGATGTGATGCTTTTTAATATTGTTCACTACATCAGGGACAAGAATTTGCTTTTATTGTGGATGGACATCATGCTATGAAAATGGAAAAATGCCCTTGACCTTGAGGATATTTTGGATGTAGATCTATTATGTGATCATTGATTATAAGTTTAATTAAATTCTGACAAATGGTCTAAGAGGAATAGCTGTTCTTGTGAACTGTGGATGGATGAGATGAAAGAGGCCTCGCCATGGTGTGAGCTTACAGGTCCTTTGGCTGCATAAGCTAATAATAAAACCACACTGAACATGCAACTTTATAAACTGTATTTTGTGCCTTTTTCTGTGACCTACAGAGAGAAAGAACTTTGACAAATCATGTGACAGCATATCTTGTGAGAACCAATAACCTTTTGGTGGTAACAAATTAAAGCTTAGGTATTCATCAGGATGATTGAGAATTATTCTTATGCATAAGCTAGTGGTCTTCAAGATATTTTGCTCTGTTGCCTGTGGTAAATTCTGATGCATCTTCTCTTTATTTGCAGGTTATGAGCATCCTGAGTAACTCCAGTGGTGTGTCCTCACAAACACAGCACGATTTCCCAATCTCACCTCTCCACAGCACTCTGGACTCTACTTCATCCAACAGTATTTCAGCCAGCTGCAGCCAGCGTTCAGCTGAGGCCTCCATTAAGACGGTGGACAGCCTTCCCTCTTCCCAGTCTTACTGTCCCCCCACATACAGCACCACCAGCTACAGCATGGACCCATCTGTGGCTGCTGCCGGCTATCAGTACAGTCAGTACGGCCAGAGTGAGTCCTACTACTTCAGATTAACTAACAAGAATAACTTTTAAATACTTTTCCTGGGTAGAGTTCCTTATGCTTTTCCCTTTGAGCTTAGTGGTCCTATTTTCACAAATTATGCTGGCAAACTACAATTACTAGTTGTCCTTCACTGCCACTGTATGCCATGGAAAAACAAAATAACTTTTGAGCAAACATTTAATAAACTAATTCATTCTGACATTCACTGAACAAAACCTTTACAAAGGGATCAGTTTGCATGGAAAAGTTGTCATAACAGCATTAATGCAGAAAATAATACTCCTTTATACTTGTGTTGATAAAAGCTTACTTATTACTGAGTAATTTTCTCAGTCATATAGGTACCTGCCGATATTAATAATGCCGGAATACAGCTTGCTGGCACTTTTTAGACCCATTCTTTCTAATTTTCACACATGCTTCCTTTGTTCAAGAAAGTTCCTGTCACATACCAAGTATTTTTAATGGGTATCAATAAAACTCAATAACAGATATCTATAATAATAATAAAAACTTTCTAAAACATCGGTGCTTACAGATCTGGATTTTAAGTAAACACATCATGAATTTGAAAATGAAACAGCCTTAGCTGTTTTGTAGGCATTCTACAAGTTAAAAACTAAAACCATTTAAAATTATATATAGCTTCACTTTATTCACTGTTTAAGGAATGTGTATTTATAAAATCATGATAGGGAGGTAACCAGTTTTTTCAGGTAAAGAACCCACTTGATGAAAGACGAATTTATCAGTTGTTCTAACAAACAGGCCTCTAATACAGGGGATTACACACTACGTTAGGAGAGCCAAAGCTAGAATGACTCTTGTGATCAGAGGGACCAACAAAGTGTTTTGTTTTCATTTGAAAAATTTTGTTAGTCAGCCACTCAGACAGAAGTCTCTGTGCACGTTCTCTTCAGGTTCATTAGCCAATGTTTCAAATTAGAGAGTTCTTCTGTAAATAACCCATCAGCTGCAGTAACCCCTAACTTGTTAGGAATAAATATGGAACACATAAGAACACATAAGAAGTTCCATTCTATTTTGTCATGACATAGGCCTAGGTGCATGTATTTGTTGTCCCTAGAGAGAGTTTTCAGTGAAAACTGTAGAAAATTTTGTAAATCATTAATCGCTGTAATAGATGCAACTGATCCACTTATTATTTGTGTTGGTTTTCTAGAGTGGGTCCTATGAATTGAAGTAATGATATGTCCTGTGTTAAGTCCTGTTGGAATTTACCTTTTATACTCTTCAGGGACTCCCCAAAGAATAACTGACATAACATTTATATATACATTAGAGCAGCGGTCCCCAACACCTGGGCTATGGACTGGTACCGGTACCATTTATTTACAAACAGCATTTGCTCCAGGGAGATACAACACAATCTGTTACATTTAGCTCTTAAGGAATAACACCAATTTTGGAGATTTCAAGGGTGGTGTAGGCCTTGTACAGTCATTTGATGGAATAAAATGATCACAAAACTCAGGAATTTTAGTCGACGTGCCAGAATTTGTATGTGTATTATCTTTGTCTTTATACCAAGCTTCTTATTAAATGCACGCACACACCGATTCCACTTTATTTTCTTTTTCCATTTTTCCCAGTGCTTCTTGCTCACTGGTAAAATACATACTCTGCAGCAACACAGTGCCATCTAGTGGCTGATGCAAACATAGGTCACATGTTACATCTCCATTCTTTAAAAAAAAGAAGAAGAACAAAACAATAAAGCAACTCAGGCTTTTAAAATTTGTCAGGCAACTGAAATTACGGGAATAAACATCCTGAGCAACATCCATTAATAACATAGCATTCAGCTCAATACTGGCTACATCATTACCATAATAAACAGATGCATTTAGTGACATCATTGGAACAACAAACATGTGAACAGCTGTTTTTTGGGGTTTTTTTAGGGCAGCAATCTGCCTGCACCCTTTACAATATTACAGGTCCAAGACCTGTCTTGGTTTAGTAACACGCCCATATTGAGTCATGTATCCGGGTGTTGTAATGTCTTTATCAGGGGGCTCCACAGGCGGGGGCTGAGAAACCACAGCGCTGTCATTGCTGTTGACTGTCGATTGAATGAACTCCTCACCTCCTACGCTGTTTCTGCCTTCGAGGAGGTGATAAACTTGTCCTGTATCTGTGGTTATGTTGTAGCTTCTGGACGTGTCTGCACAACTCGTGACCACAGCTGGTTCCAGGAACCATCTTGTTGATGGAACCGGACCAGTGTGCCAGGATATAGTTGAGGCAGAGGTTGGGCTGCTCTGTTGAAATAAGTCTGCTGGCGCTGTTGGCAGACTTCTCTCCTCTCACGCACGGTTTGCTGGCAAACTACTTGTAGTTCCAACTGTTTTGGTGTTGCAGGGAGGATGGAGCGGAGTCTCTGGCTCATGAGTAGCCGTGCAGGCGACTTTAAGTTGTCCACGGGGGTGTTCTGGTATTCTAATAGGCTCAAGTAGGGATCCTTATGTTCAGCTTTGGCCTTGTCCAGTAGTTTTTTTGCTGTCTGGACAGTCTTTTCGGCTAGGCCGTTGCTCTGTGGGTAATTCAATTCAATTCAATTTTATTTATATAGCGCCAAATCACAACAAAAGTCGCCTCAAGGCGCTTCATAGATACAGAGAAAAACCCAACAATCATATGACCCCCTATGAGCAAGCACTTTGGCGACAGTGGGAAG